TGGTTTCCGAAAAGGACGCCAAACTCTCGATCAGCTGGTAAAACTGGAGAGTAATATTCAAGAGGCAATTGCCAAAAAGCATTTTTTTATTTCAGTATTTTTAGACAGAAAAAGCCTACGACATGGCATGGCGATATGGCCTACTCAGAAAACTTTATGCCTTTGGATCACGTGGAAACTTGCCTTGTTTTATTCAAAATTTCATTTCTGACAGAACTTTTGCTGTCAAATTGTTTTCTGAATGTCACTCGGATATTTTTGTCCAAGCAAACGGGGTCCCACAAGGAAGTGTCTTGTCACCAACTTTATTTCTGTGTATGATCAATGACATCTTACCAGCTCCCTCTCGGTATCTTAAATACTCACTGTACGCTGATGATTGTGCATTATGGCATTCCAGCAGTAATGCAGAATTCTCAGCAAATCGCATCCAATTGGCACTGGATATGATTCATAACAGGTCTCCCGTAGGGTTTCAAGTTTTTCACAAGAAAGAGTATTGGGGTAAATTTTTCACGTAGGAGGATGCCGAATATCAGGCTAACTCTAGATAACGATATTCAAAATTCATCTAGATTTCTCGGTCTACTTTTTGATCGTAGACTGAATTGGAAAGACTACATTGGTCAGTTAAAGAATAAATGTCAAAAAGCACTTAATTTACAAAAGTGCAATTCTGGAAACAAATGGGGAGCTGATAGAAAGTCTTTGCTAATGATATATAAAGCCCTGATTAGGTCTAAAGTAGATTATGGGTCAATCGTGGAGGGTTCGGCATCAGGCTCAAGTTTCAAACACTCAGACGCGGCCAGCTGGCGCTGACTTATGCCGCAAAGGTGGCTCGAGACTCTAGCCACCCTAATGTCAATGGTGCCATCAGACCCTTTACCACAAGACTCCACGACCTCATCCAGAAAGTCGGTATAGGTCTCTCTACCATCGATACCCTGGTTCAAACAAATATAGCGCCATGGGAAACCCTTATTTTTTCCATCATGGAAGCTTGGCTTCCTTCAAGCAAGGCCTGGCGCCGGAGGTGGAGGTACGCCAGAGGTTCAGAGAAATCATGATCAAACATCTTTTTTTTCATATATATACACCGACGGCTCCAAGATCGAGCACGTTGTGGGTGCAGGTGTATGGTCGACTGAATGTAAATTAAGTTTCAGACTGCCGAATCATACATCGATCTTTATTGCCGAACTTCTTGATATTAATACAGCTATTGATTTTGCACTATCGACGACCCACGATAGAATAGTATTTTTTCTGTTTCATCAAGTTCACTTAAAGCCATTAAATCGTTAAAAACCACTAAAAATGAACTACTGGGTAATATCATTCGTAAGCTACATGGTGCCAACAAATCAATCAAGCAGATATGGGTGCCAGGCCACTCTGGTATCCATGACAATGTGCAGGCTGACCGATTAGCCGGGTCAACTGGCGATCTGGACCTTAGCATAGTCCGGACAGATCTCAGGTGTTTTGTTTCCCTTATAAAAGCAAAAATCCATCTCCTGTGGCAAAGTGAGTGGACCAACCTGAACAAAATCAAACACTCAATAGAACTGTGGAACACAACCCACAGGAAGAATAGACGCGAGGAGGTGGTGATCGCCCGACTCAGGGTCAAATGCTACACGACTTACACATCTCACTCCTTATATTGAGAGAAGATTCCCCCCATTGGACACTATAGCAAACAATAAGCCATATATTATTTTGCCACAAATACAATAGTAGCAGACAATCATCAAAAAACTATTTCAGAATGCAAAATAAAGAATTTACACTAAACAACACTATCAGATGATGAAAAAATAATCCATAAAGTAAGCTTTTCTAAGGGAGACAAAAAATTATGACCTTATTTAGATTGAAAGAATAAATAGAATCCAATGACTTAATACCCTTGGCCACATGCCGCCGGTTGATAGCCAAGAAATCCAACAAAAGTGAAAAGTTTTCACGGCAGTTGCTGCAGGTTGAGACAGGGGAAACCCTAGACTAGGGTGTCCTCCCTTTTTATTTGTTTTCGTGGATTTTCTTTTATCTCTTCTCGATGGTGAGATAGTGGAGCACGTAATATGAGGTAAAGTGGTCGTGAGAACAGTGTTTTTTAGTGGCAAAGTATTCATTTAGATGCATATACATTCGGGCTAAGAACAGAAGGCTGGTGCTGTTTTATCAATTTTTAAGTGATTTTCATTTTCAGCTCGTGAGTGAGCGGAGTTAATTTTTATGTACTTTGCATTTTTTAAGTTCTTTTGCACTTTCTTAAACTTTAAAGTTCTTTTTAAGGGGACTAGTCCCCGTCCCTTCTAGTTCTTTGTGTGTTTGTGTGTGTGCGTGTGTGTGTGTGTGTGTGTGTGTGTGTGTGTGTGTGTGTGTGTGTGTGTGTGTGTGTGTGTGTGTGTGTGTGTGTGTGTGTGTGTGTGTGTGTGTGTAATTGTTTTACGGGGTATATTTCGTTTTATAATAAAATAATGTGGATCATTTTTTTTTTTTTTTTTTACTTTTGCTTGCTGGTTACCTGAAAGAGAATTATCTATACTAGAAAGATAGCCTTATCCGAAACCCTTTACATGTAGTCATATTCCCGTGCTCGACCTCCCCGTTCTGGTTACGTTTGCCGTATTTTGCTGGTTCATACATTCTACACTACACACATCACAACATTTGTATACAATCTTTCCCTCCTTTCCACAAGCCCTACACACATTGTCTTCTCCCAATTAACACCCCTTTCCCGTACGTACTAAACGGGTGGTGGCAGTAAGCGCTTACGGCACATTCCTGTACAGTAAGGCACGGTAATATCAAGGTAATATTAAAGTATAGTTCCGCATGCTAAATGTCAACTGGACAATGCTTCCATTGGCGATATATGATGTTAGTGAATGATGATTGCTACAAAATAAGAGACGAATCTTTTATTTTCTTTTAGCAACTTTACATCGGTCGCGTTCCGAAAATCCTTCATGCTATCTGGATCATTATTGATATAAGCATTATCCTACATTTCTAAATTTCGTTTATACACATCTCCCCTTAACGTCCGTTCTCCCTCATTTGGTCTCTATACTTTCATAATTTCAAGTATTTCCCTCTTGTACATAATATAATTTTCCCTAAGTATTTGAGGGGAATATAAATTCTACTATAGCCTCTGAGCTGTTTGTGAATGAGAACTGCCTGGTGAGTGCATTAGCAATGTCCCTAGGTGAATCTAAATTGGTTCCCTCATGGAGGATATTTTTAATTTTGATTGTTTTTTTTTTCTATTAATTTTATTGATAGTGGACCAAACCTGTGAGATTTTGGTGTTGCTATTGATTGTAGAGACAAAGTTATGCCAGGAGACTCTTTTGGCTTGTCTGATTGTTCTACGAGCCAATTTATAATAATTTTATAATTATTAATTATTAATAATTATTTATAATTATTAATTACTCTTGCTAATTTATAGTTGCAAAAGTTCTCATTATTTGATGCTATTTTTGAAAAGCCTGTAGGCCTATTGCGTTCACACAGCACCTTGCGGCAATCTGGTGTCCACCATGGAACTCTATGTTTAACACTATCTGTCAAAGTCTTAGGAATGGATATCATTGCTGCATCTAAAATAGAATTTTGAATATTGTTTACTTTATCATCAATGGTTTCTCCAACAAGTTCGAGCTTGACGCTCCTTGTGAAGGCGACCCAGTCTGCTCTTTTTACGTTAAATTTAGGTGCTGAAGGCGTTCTTGTTATGTCGCATGAATATTCAATACAAACAGGAAAAAGGCCGCTTCCCAACGAGTCGTCAATGGTGTGCCACAGGCACTTGGCTGCTACTGTTCAGGAAACCAATGATAGGTCAATAAAGCTCAAATTACCGGTATTATCGTCCACTCGCGTAGGACTACCATCGTTCAGAAGGATTAGGTCTGAATCTTTAACTAGCTAAACTACTTGCTCACCTCTACCATCCACCCGCAGGGAACCCCATAATGTATGATGAGCATTAAAATCACCTAAAATTACTTTATTTTGTGGCAGACTATCCTGAAGAGCAAAGAGCTCATCATAAATTACCACATTATCAGGTGGACAATAAACTAAACATAGGCAGATACGTGCTATTGACTTTTACTTTGCATGCGACAATCCCCAAAATAGAATCTATAGTCACTTCTGTAAAAGGGAGGTTCTGGTGGATATACATGGTGATTCTGCCTCCACCTCTACCCTCTAGATCCTTCCGACACAGATTGTAGTTCCTCAGCGAAACTACATCATCGGGTACTTAATTTGTTGACAATAATATCGGGAGCTTAAGATGAGGCTAATAATCTAAGGTCATTTACTCTAGTTCTAAGACCGACAGTTCCATTGTATAATGATTAACGCGAAGATTACGTTTTATGCGGCCTGAAAGTGCCTTGTCCGCCTTTTTTAACCGTTTTCTGGGAGGGAGGCGCCTCCTCTCTCGAGCTTTCCCGGGGACCTCTCGCGGGAAGATTTGGAGACAGAAGCCTCCATGTCCTGTGCCTCTCTGCGAGGGAAACGGTTGGCAGAGTGCGATCTGCTTCTCTCTCGAGAAACAGATCGAGAGCCAGGTGAAGTCCTCGCAGGAGTCGCCTGGACGGGGAGGTACGATACGGACTGTGATCCGGTATCAGCTTCCTTAAGATGTTTTGACTGGGTTGATTCAGCCATTTCATCGACCAATTTAGTCAGCTGATATACTTTAATATTGAATTCTCTGACAGTTTACTTAAATCAGCAATATCTTTATCTTTAGCTGCAAGCTCTTCACTGACATTACTTGCACTACGAGTGACGTTAGTTACTGCTGACGCATAGGAAGTATCGGGTTTGTGTCAAACTTTCAACTTTCCTCTTAGCTTCATTATAATTAACTTCATGTTTCCTCATATATGCCAATGTCTCAGTCTCCTTCTTCAGGCTGCTACACTCGGCAGAGCCTGAGTGATGATCGACCAATTTAGTCAGCTGATATACTTTAATATTGAATTCTCTGACAGTTTACTTAAATCAGCAATATCTTTATCTTTAGCTGCAAGCTCTTCACTGACATTACTTGCACTACGAGTGACGTTAGTTACTGCTGACGCATAGGAAGTATCGGGTTTGTGTGTCAAACTTTCAACTTTCCTCTTAGCTTCATTATAATTAACTTCATGTTTCCTCATATATGCCAATGTCTCAGTCTCCTTCTTCAGGCTGCTACACTCGGCAGAGCCTGATTGATGGGGACCTCCACAATTGGCATATTTGAGAACAGCACTTGTGCATGTACTGGTGTCATGGGCTTCAGCACATTTATGGCAAGTGAATTTGTTAGTATCTTTGTCAATACATCTTAATGGAGTGTGTCCGAATTTTTGGCAGCTATTACAATGCATTGGCTTTTGAATGTAAGGTCTTACTTGAACACGTTCATATCCAACATTGACATATTCGGGGATCTTATTTAAAGCAAAGGTCAAAAAACACAGTCCAGTTTTCGTTCGCACATTCCCGTCCTTCATATAATGAACGTCCATTACATCTTGGTCATTCATGCTTTCGAGAATTTCACTTTCTTGCATCGTCCTCAAAGAAAGATTACTTCCTTACAGATATTTGGGCCAATAGGAATAGTTACTTTAACTCGGAGATCATGAATTTGCTTCAGCTTAAGTAAATCCTTAATCTGGGAGCTGTATTGTACTTTAACAAGGAGGCTTCCATCTCGCAATTTCGGGACAAAATCAAAATCGCCACTTGACCATCAAGGACCTTTTTGATGATAAAGGGGTTCACGTTCAAAAGCAATTGATTTTCATTCACGCATTTCACATTCGCGAACCTTGCATTCTTTGGAGGGATTTGGAAAAGTGGTCTTCTGGGTCTGTCAGCCGAGGTTCCATTGTTCATAGTCGAATCGATCGTAGATCGGTCATGGGTCGTCCCCACTCCTTCAGGAAGAGCAGAGGTAGCCAGGGGAGCAATCATACTGGGTATCGGACCAAGTCCGACCCTGGGCCCTTGCCCGTTGCCCTGAAGGGACCAAAAAACCCTAAACTATTGTTAACCAGCCTAACAGCAATAGCTAAGAGAGTATGGCAGTTTTCCGTCCTCTACCCCCTCAGTGGAAGCCCGGTTGCGTTCTCCAGTACCAATGAGGGATCGAGTTATGTGGAGGACACTTCCCTACCGCCGAAGCGAAGGACGGTAAGTCTATGCCCACCCCCCAAAGCAAATACGGGAGCCCCGAGGGTAGGCTCAGGAAAGTCACATGAAGAAGGAAGTGAAGGCAGAAATAAGTAAAAGTGCGTCCAAATGACGCCCCAGACTACTGGGCCTCCCTACCCAGAGGTCAATGACTGTGAGGGCTACCCTGATGTAGAAAAGAGCTGCGGGTCTGAGGAGGGGTGCTGACTACGCCTACTATGAGCTCGTGTCACCTGCAAACGCAAAGCACTGAAGGTGCAGGCAAAGCACAAAGTGCACAAAAGATCTGTAAATATATATATATTTTTTTTACTCCATGTATTTTTACTTTAAAAGAACTCAGAAGCAAAAATGTCAGGTGAGACAAGAGGCCCCGGTCTCCAGGCTAGCTATGTAGCACAAGACTCTGTATTTGTTGCTGTTGTGTTAAGGAAGGAGTGAACCATACAAAAGCTCATACACGAGTGCATACACGAGTGCCGTGAAAAGGTGGGAACCACCTAATTATACACCTGTGTTCCCAAGGAACACAGGTAGTAAGGTGCGAATGTTTACTCTTAAAGTCCCTTAAAAAAATATTTTAATGGAAAAAGAGTCTTACGGCTGCTTTCTAAATATGCGTTACGTTAATTCAAAACCCTTAAAAAGATTTTAATAATCGTAATTAAAAGAAAACTTTCAGACGTGACTGCTATTAATACGTTTTACACTATTTAAGCTCTCATCTACTTTTCTTTTTAAAAGCTGGTGCTCTGTGCTTAGAAGAGTGGCGGGGTTTACTAAAAAAAATGTTATCATTCTCTTATTTGTCTAAAAATAGAGATTTATTAAAATAAATAAAGATGAATATACAGGCACGTTTGCGCCTTCTTGGGGTGTTCCGTGGGTGCTCCCCTCACTCTTCTTGAGAGGAAACTGTTCCCCTTTTCAATGGCCTTTTGTATCCGCCGCTTTATCCATCCGTCACATCGCTATAAGCGTGCACCCTTACGTAGCGATATATCCTATTAAAATCGGGTAGATTTTTGTTCTGCGGGACTGTGTTTTTATATGGATACCAGGCTGCCAAGGGAGAGACTAAATTAAAATCTGAATATTTCATATTTCCAGTCCACTACAATACCAAATGAATCAACAATCAAAACAGAGTCAGTGTTCATTGTGACGAAAAGATTTAACAATTAACATTGTATTCCCCCATGATAAGATATCGAACTGCGGCTTGTATCATGTAATCCAGATGAGTATATTGTCGGAAGATTAGTTATGTAATTTCTATCGTAGTGTTATTCGTTTCTATACAGTTTCTATAGCAGAGTCAATCAACACTGTGTATACTCTGTTACCACCACCCAAGAATTCTCACAGGTAATTAACTCGTTAATGACATCTGTTCAACGACGTGATTTTCCTAAAATGGCTCGGAAATTCCTGCTCCGCAACAACGCTCTGCTGAGCACGCAAGACTTCGTCAAACTGTGCGTCAGCATTCCTGCTGAGACGTCCCCAAGGTCGGATCGCCAGCGCTACCAACCTAGCTGTTGAACTCCGACATAGTGAGTCACGCTCTGTTGCAGCCAACGCTGTCCGAAGGCCCCAGCTGGGCCACTGATCAGCAAGGACATTGACCACCCGAAATACCGCTCCACCGAACCGACTTCCTTGCCATGCAGTTTCCTCCACGCAGCCACGACCATGAGGCAACGCTATCCAGTGGCGCCATGACCTTGCTCACCGCGCGGCACTCGAATTCGCCTCGTCAGCCGTGCAGCGCGGGTCTGCTCGCTGCCTCAAAGGTACATGTCCTCAGCCTCTCCTCACCTCGCGCCGCACCCAAGGCTAGTGTAAAAGTTTATCGGATTTGAAAATGAGAATTAATATTTAGCTACCTCCTTAGCGATGAGACTTGAAATTTTGAGACGGTCGCGTTCCTTTTGTTTTAAGCATTAAAAAGGGTAGTAAAATAGGCTTCTTTTACATTAGTTTGGTCATGGAAACTGAAAACAATTTTGAAACCTTTCATATTCCAAAGTTTTAGCATTTTTAACTCCTCTATGCTACAGAATTTTCAATATCTTGAAAATTAAACTCTAAATAGGTCATCAGAATTTCCAAATTAAAAGAAAACCTGAACTTTCAAACCTCTTCAGCATCGGCGAGATGTTGCTATTCTCTGTGTACTCTACAAAGTGCACATGCTAAGCGTCCCGCATATCACGTCCCTGCGACTTGAACCACGAGCGATTGCAACTTACGATACACGGCATTCTGGCAACCGCGGTCAAGAGGTGCAGGTACCCTTTCCCAGGAACGAACTTCATCAGCGCTCCTTTCAGCCCAAATATTCCCGGCTCTGGAACACGATGGTTCAGCAAACGTCTGTACAACCTGCCCAACCTGCAAGCTTTCAAGGCTGCTGTACACAGACGGAGGCCCCACGATCCTGGTTAATCCTTCGTGTCCAATTCATAATTAACATATTCCCATAAGGTAAAGCTTCTTGAAAGATTTTCATTAACAAGAAAATCTTAAGCTTAGAGAAGCACAAGGGAGCATAAAAAAACCTTGTCTGTAACCTGCATATATTTGACAAAGTATAAAAAAGAGAGGGAAGGAGGGAGGGAGGAAGAGAGAGAGAGAAAAAAAGGATATAAAGGAATCTAAAAGAAAGATTATGACCCTTGATTCAGTAGCGAGCGACGGCGATCCTGTCGGCTGCGGACACGGGGGAGGCGAGAAGTGCAATCTGTGGCCTCCCTGACTAATCTGTTGATTAGTCAGGGAAGAGAAGGGGTGGAAGGGAGGGAGGGAGGGAGGGAGGTAAAGGGTGGACGGGAGAGAGGGAAAAGGGAGGGAGGGAGGGGATGCTAGAAGAGGAACGTTTATACGCACACACACACACACACACACACATACACACGCACACGCACACGTACACACACCACACCACACACACACACACACAACACACACACACACACACACACACACACACACACACACACACACACACACACACGCACATATATATATATATATATATATATATATATATATATAATATATATATATATATATATATATTAGTGAGTGAGAGATAGAGAGCGAGAGAGAATTATTGTAAAGTAATATTCTGAAGCCATTACGAGAAGGGCTGCGAAAGGGGAGTGGAGAAACAAGAGGAGAGCATGATTGGAGACGCATAACTACAAAATTATCGAGCAAATACATACGAAAGAGAAGCAATAAAATGTGGGCAAAGAAAACAATGAATATAAAGAACAGAGGGGTAAAGCAGGGGTAATGAGAGAGAGAGAGAGAGAGAGAGAGAGAGAGAGAGAGAGAGAGAGAGAGAGAGAGAGAGAGAGAGAGAGAGAGAGAGAGAGAGAGAGAGAGAGAGAGAGAGAGAGAAAGGGAGACATACAGACAGACACAGCAATGTTTGCTTAACAGTACGCATAATTATGAAAACTATGGACCATTAATGGTTTAAATAATAACCACAGAATTCAAAACCAAAAAAATTGCACTCATTGACCTTTGACCTTAATTACTGGTCTGTTTAGGCATTTTCAGCCACGGCAAACAAAATATTCGTATTCAGCACGAAAAAACGCTCAAGATAGACCTATTTGCTTCTAGACACTTAAACATATTTTCGGATTTCTTGCCTATCTATCAATAGATAACCTGCTTTCATTCCGGGTGATTTCCAAAGAATTTCTTCAACTTCTCAGCATTGGCTTGTCACTGATCTTCCATTTGGTGGTGGTAGCGGTGGTGGTGATTTTGACGAAGAGGAGGAGAAAGATGATGAGGATGGTGGTGGTGGTGATGATGATTATGATGAAGAGGAGGAGGAGAAGGATGATGATGAGGATGGCGATGGCGATGGTAGTGATGGTGATGGTAACGGTCATGGTGGTGGTGATGATGACAATCATCACCATATAGTAATCACCAACAATAAAGAGAATGACTATAAAAATATTAATGGTGACACCGGTGATTTGCTAAGTCATTATAATAGGAATTTAACCATTACTACTAATACACCGAATGATAACAATAATGATAATGGTAATAACAACAGCATTGTAAGGAAGGTAGCAATAACGCAATAGAACAATTAATAATACAATAATAATATCATAATTTAATACCTGGGTTTAATATATATCAAAAGACCGATTCGGTAACGCCTAGCAACCGCCCCTAGTAACGAGCACTTGGTGAAAACAAACCCTCGTTCTTTCGAAAAATCACTGCGCTTTGCTTACAAAGTCGCTGAATTTTTCCGATAGTTTTGATTATTTGCGTGAAAATGGCGAGGAGCTGTGTTGCCGTTGGTTGTTCGAACCACATGATGGGAAAG